TTTGCACTTTACACTTGACCTCTTTTCGATAAGGTGGACGCGGCGTGACTAACTTACCCAAAACACATTTTGTTGACTTCGATGTTTAGTTATTATTACTCTGTTTCCTGGAATTAGCCTGCCGTCTCTCTCTATTGTAATGTTATTAAGCCGAAGAAAGAAGGAGAAAGTAATAATTTTTGTATTACGCGGCTTTCTTTTAAGCACTGTAGTGACCTTGCTGTGTGCCGGTTGTCGCTATGGTGTTGCGTGCGTAGTTATTTTTAAATACTATTGTAGCCTTGAAATAAGTATCAGTTTTCTTTAATTGAATGATGATTACTAATTAAATATTTCATTTTAAAAATCTTAATACCCTGACTTACGATCCATTTTCGTTTCCATTAATTTTCGTTTCTATGAAGTGTTTAGATAACTGTGTGTAGTAGGGTGACTATAATTTACTTAGTTCTATCTAAATTTGAGAAAAAAAAATGACCTACATAAAAAACTATCAAAATCGATCCAGTATCCGATTCTGATCAAACTACTTTCAGGGTGTGCGTTAATTATGTTACACGTTGTAAATGTATAACTCACATTCTCATGTATTACATAGTAATGTTATATAGTTATATGTCCCATTGTATTTGTAGTGATTATATGTAGGTATTTATTTCTAAGAGAGAAACACGCGTCCGTTCGATAGTGCAGAACTGACGCATAGTAAAAAATGTCCATCCTACCAACGTCATAGTATTATACTTAAATTCATTCTGGATCTCCACACCATACCTTGGTTCATCTGAAATATTATATACAGCATGCATAATTAAATTATTCTTGGACAAAGTTCGGCAAATAATTGATTTTTTAAAATATTTTATGAGTGAATTCTTGAAGTGAAACTTCTTATGCGACTACCAACAAGGTTGCGTTAAACGTTTAACTTAGGGAAAGAAAGATATACAAATGTAGAAAGTAGGAGAGACATTGAGAGTAGATTCCAAGCAAATGTGCATAGTACTGTTGCTTACAGCGAAGTAAACAGTGTGAACGCGACATTAACTGAAACACCAATTTGTATTATATTAATTTATGTATATACATATAATTCATTTCCTCAGTTAGTTGTGGCCTAGTGGTTAAAAGTCCCGCCTCTCATGCATGAGGGCGCGGGTTCGGTCCTGGCAAATACCAATGTGATTTTTCCGAGTCATATGTACTTTATAAGAGTACTAGCTGATCCGGCAGACTTCGTACTGCCTCAATCAAGAAATATCTATTACGTTTTTTATTTATATTTTTGGAGTTTATCTGTAAGCCATAAATCTCCGTGTTTTGAAGTGCGACAGAATGATTGACATATTAGTTAGTTGTCAAATCTAATGTCAAAAAAAACTTTTGTATGGGAAATAGAAAAGGGCTGTTTTTATGGTTTTCCCAGTAATGAATAAATTTTTTTCAGCTTTTATACCTTCCCTGAACCTCCACGAACATTTCAAGACTAAGATAAGATAAATCCGTTCAGCTGTTCTCGAGTTTTAGCGAGACTAAGGAACAGCAATCCATTTTTATATATACAGGGTGACTGGTGAATTACTATCAATATTTAAGGAGAATACTCGGTACATGATTCTCATTCGAATTATGTAAAAAAAATAGGCACTTAATTTTTGACAAAATTTCGTTTAAATAAATAAAGTGTTGACACGTTCCAAGTGTTCCAAGTGTGGACGCGTGCGGCGGCGTGCTGATACAACACCACGCCCCCTCACGCGTATGTGTGAGTGTGTGTGTATACCTAATCTGTAGGGTGTTCACACGATGCGTAATTAATTACATAACTTTTGGTTAACTTTACTTAGAAGTTTATTAATATTTATGTTATATTAATTTTTATTTTGTCATACATGATCGTCAAATATCACGTCCTCAAATATCGATAGTAATTCACCAGTCACCCTGTATAGAAGATAGAAGACTAGTAAACCTGGCGAACTCCGTTTCGCCACCAGAAGGCTTTTATATGTAGAACATTTCGTTTGGTGATTAAAAGATGAAGAATTTTTTGTTTTATATTTGAAAAGGAAAATTTTTATTTCATTTCACAACAGTAATGAATTCATTTCGATTACAAAAATGAAGTGTTATTTAGTTGAACTTGTCTAAGTAAATGAAAGTGAATCCAAAGTAGATACCGAATCGAAGCGTTATACGTGTCCGCAAATTATCCGTTTCATAGAAGTGCTCCTTTGTAAACCACATTTTTTGTTTTTTGGTCTAACTTTAACACAAATAAAGCGTATGGTTTCCAAGCTCGTGAACACGCAGAATATAACTGCCCATGTGAGAAACAATGATTTTCTAAATTTATCCCGCAAATACTAAATGGTTTTAAGAGTTCAATCTACAAACACAATACCTAAATATTTTTATTTTTATATAGTAGATTTCTTACAAATATCTAATTGTCATCCATACGTCATTACATATCTGTCATTATACGTCAATTGTGTTATTCCACGTTTTATAGTGACTGACGTTTCATGTCAAGTCCCACGGGAATGCTGTCGAACGGGATAAAAAGTATTCTATTGCAATTTCCTGGTTCTAAACTATCTCCCTGAAAATTTTCAGCTGAATCGGTTCAGCCGTTCTTGGGTTATAAGTGAAGTCACTAACACGACTTTCTTTTATTGGTGTACAACTTTGCTTCCGCCGTTTTTTTCCGAAATTCGAGGCTTTATTGTAAAAAACTGGTTATACATTTATGATTCAAAGTATTGTCCATCGCTGGCCACTACTTTCTCCCATCTTTTGGGCAGCATACGAATCCCGCGTTGAAAAAACTGGTCATCTTTTGAACCGATCCACAAATAGATCCAATTTTTAACTTCTTCATAAGACCAGAAGTGCTGGTCAGCCAGGCGGTGTGCCATTGATCGAAACAAGTGAGAGTCCGAGGGAGCAACGTCTGGAGAATACAGCGGGTGGGGTAGGACTTCCCATTTCAACGTTTCCAAGTATGTCTTGACCACTTTCGAAACATGGGGTCGATCATTGTCGTGCTGTAAAATCACTTTATCATGTATCTCGTTGTATTGCGGCCGTTTGTATTTCAATGCTCGGCTCAAACGCATAAATTGCGTTCGATAACTATCGCCTGTGATTGTTTCAGTCGGTTTTAACAACTCATAATGCACTACGCCGAGCTGATCCCACCAAATACAGAGCATACCTTGGAACCGTGAATATTCGGTTTGGCCGTCGACGTGGAAGCATGGCCGGGATATTCCCATAATTTTCTGCGCTTAGGATGCTCGTATTGAACCCATTTTTCGTCCCCAGTCACAATACGATGCAGAAATCCTTTCCGTCTTTGCCTTGCAAGCAGCTATTCACAAGCAAACAAACGCCGTTCAACATCTCTCGGCTTCAACTCGTAAGGCACCCAATTTCCTTGTTTCTGAATCATTCCCATGACTTTGAGGCGTTTTGAAATGGCTTGTTACATCACTCCCAATGATCCTGCCAATTCTTGTTGCGTTTGACACGAGTCTTGATCAAGTAATGCCTCCAATTCTGCATCTTCGAAAACTTTCTATCTTCCACCGCCATGCCGGTCTTCGACGTCAAAATCACCGTTCTTGAAGCGTTGAAACCACTCTCGGCACGTTCTTTCACTAATAGTGGCCTCACCATAGGTATTTGAGAGCATTCGATGAGCCTCAGCCGCAGATTTCTTCATATTAAAGCAGAAAATTAAAACCTCCCGCAAATGACGAGAATTTGGCTCGGAAGCTGACATGTTTAATCGAGAATAACTTTATGATGCAGACACAAATCGACTAATATTTCGATGGCGTTATGTTTACAAATGCCTAAGCTTATTATATAACATCTACGATCTATTTATTTCGACTACCACTTACCGCTACAACCATCTATTGCAAAACGGCGGAAGCAAAGTTGTACACCTATGTATATATATAGATTTAGACATCACTGATTAATGCATTCCAAAAGAGGTTTGACGTCAGTCAGGCGTCCGGTCGTAAAAACAATTAGGCAAAACTATTCACACATCTTAGGCAGACCCTGGCTAAAAGCTGGGAAATTGCCAGGAAGAAGAAGATTAGTTTATGCATATACATATAATTTTTTTCCCTACTCCACCCACTAAACTATAACGATCACATTCCAGATCAAGCAGCTGTGCCAGGAGCTTGAATAGGCGTACTCCTCAGTGTCATCAGCGGCGGAGGAGCGCGCGGCCCGGCAGGAGGCGGCGCTCAAGGCCCAGTAGTTCCAGCATGATGCAGCGGAAGTCGACTCCTGTCTGGCTGACAAGGCCGCCGCACTGGCTTCCGGTGACGTCGGCAATGATAGGCATAGAGCGACGCAACTACTCACACGGCAAAAGGTAATATACACATATATACATAGCTAAGAATTACATTTTCGTCATATCACACAATTTTTGAGCTACAAGAAATGATAAATCACTATATATATGTAAGTCATCAAGTGACTTATGAAGTGAAAATTTATCAGTCATTGAGTAGGATTAAATATTTATAAAACATATATTAAAAATAAGGGTTGGTGATAGAAGAGTGATAATTTAGGGTTGTATGTATTTTATAATGCCACATTATGAAAGGTTGTCCAAAAAAATTAAATAAGGTGTTAAAAGTGGGCCGCCCTTATATGTACTTAGGGGTATGAAATGTAGATAGTAGCCAATTGTTAAAATTATTGAATATGCATATAAAGTTTCATAAAAATCGGTTAAGCCGTTTGGCAGGAGTATGACATCTAACATATATATATGGACTTAAATTAGAAGAAGTTGTCATTATTTAAATTTCTAACACTTTCAATTAACAGAAATATAATAATACAGAGTATATTCAGCATTATCTTACAATTCCTCTTTACCCTACCAACAGGCCGTAGAACTCGAGCTGGACACATACGCGGCGGTCATAGCGGAAATGGGTCACGTGGTGCAATCCATGGCTTCCGGTGGTCATCCTGAGGGTGGCGCGCTGGTCACTAGACATGACCAGCTGGCTGGCAGTCTGGCTAGGCTGCAGAGACTTGCAGCGAGCAGGCAGGCCGCGCTCATGGAGAGTGTGTGCAGGTGAGAGATACTATATATATATATATATATATATATATATATATATATGTAAGATCTAATTTACATAATCCACAACTCAAATACAATTCATATATTCCAGCAAGACCTGGCAGCGTCTGGTAGAAAAGATCCAGTCCCGCAACCAGCGCCTGGCTGCTGCTGGCGAGATCCATCGCGACGCCGGGGACCTGCTGGCGCGGGCCGGGGACCTGCGCGCCGTCACCGCCCTCTTGAGGGACCACGACGCAGCCGAGAACGATATGGTCGCTATAGACGCGCAGACTTGAGAAAATTATGACTTTAAACATATTATGTATTTTAAATTAAAACTTCGACAATCATAATAAATGTATCATTATCATCACTAGGTAGTTTAACATATTCTTACAATAAATTTTGCTTTAAATATGAAATTTAAAATATACACCCTCGAAGCAACAATAATTGTGTACAAAATAGTGATAAGAAATGCAAACTAATAGACACAGAGTAACTATTAAGATTGACTTATAATGAAATCTAAGATTTTCGCGAGTAGTCATTTAAATCAGGGGTTCCCAACCTTTTTTTAGTTCTGGACCACTTTTATATTATTCTTGTTAGCAGGGACCACTATGTAAGTATAATAAAAATAAACTGTAATAATCAAACTGAAACTTTAATTAACAAATCAATAGGATATAACAAAACAAGAAATAATAATATTTTTAGGATAAACTTCTGCAATTTTGTATTAATGTGATTTCTGAGCTTGCATTTTCTTCATGAGTTCGGCTATCCTAGGACTAATATTGTTACTCAAAGCTTACTTCACTTACTTTCAAACGAATCCTCGCTTTGTTTTTAATTACCAATAAAGCAGAAAATCCTTGTTCACATAAATAAGTTGTTGAAAAAATCATAAAATAGCGCAAGGCCATTTCTCGAAGTTTAACATAAGAAATTGCTTTTTTACACCAAAACGACTCAAGACCCACCGCCCGCTAAATTTAAAATCATTTGCGGACCATATTTTGGCTTCTGTGGACCATTGGTGGTACACGGACCACTGGTTGGGAACCATTGATTTAAATGAAACTAATATTTCTTGGATGAACGTTTTGATAAAAAAATACATATTTCCGACGTTTCGTTTACTTTACAGAATCATGATCACGGGCAGACGCTATGATAAATATTAGTTTCATTTAAATTAATACTTGTCAAAATCTATTTCATAATATCATAGCTCCTCACTTAATGTAGCCTAATTCTGCCTAAATAAGATTTTAACTGATTCTTGCAGTATTTTATAGTTGTAGTAATATACTTCCTGGCCCAGGCAAGTACCAATGGGATTTTTCCGAGTCATATGTACTTTCTGAGAATATTTACACATCACTGATTAATGCATTCCCAAAGAGGGTTGATGTCAGGCAGGCGGCCGGTCGTAAAAACAATTAGCCAAAACTATTCACAACATGTAAGGTAGACCCTGGCTAAAGCTGCTAAGTTGCCAGGTAGAAGAGAGAGTTGTAGTGATATTAAATCTATTTCCATGTGCTCCAGGAGGAAGGATCTCGCCTCCAGCGGTTATGCCCCGGCGGTAACTCCCAGCAGATAGCGCTGAGCTGCAGATCTTAGGAGGAAACTGCTGCACCAACACCTGGAATTACAGACCTTCCTATCCGAGGTATCACTATGGGATTTCACTATTATACAAAACCTTTATGATCTGATAGTGTTTTAATATATTGCTACATTTGATTAATCTATCTTATTTTGTATATATTTTCTTTATATACTAATTAATTATTATTAACGATTTTACGCCTATAAATAATGTATCCTTTATGATATTTTATTTCCATTAAGACATTATTATCACTTATATGAGAATTCCACTTATAACAAAACCATTTATGAATATACAGTTCGACATCGCACTTGTAACAAATATTAAATGAAATAACGTTTAATTAAGAGATATTTTTCTATATTAAGCACTAATTTAATGGTTGTCTTAGTTTTGATTATTTATTATTTAATATATGCTATCTGCCCCGCAAACGTTGTTTTGTCATATCAAAAGTAGGGGTTGGTGATAAAAAAATTAATATTTAGGATTTTATGTATTTTCTTATGCCACTTGATAAAAAAATAAAAACAAAACCTTTCGTCCAAATCAAAACAAAAATTAGGGGTGAACAGCCCCTATCACTTAAGGGAAGGAAAAATAGATGTTGGCCGATTCTCAGACCTACTCAATATGCTTACAAAATTTTCCGAGAAACGGACAAGCCGTTTCGGAGGAGTACGGGAACGAACATTGTGACACGAGAATGTTATATATAAGATATATATCATGAATATCGTTCCCCAGCTCCGTGACGTCATCTCGTGGTCGTCATCCCCAGCTGCCGCACGCTCAGCAGCAGCGGCACGGGTTCAAGGACGCGCTGGCCAGGGGGCAGAGGTTACTACACCCTGGAACAATATTATACTATGAAAAATATGTTAGCAATACTATATGGGATTAAAAGTTATATTTTTTGTATTTAATAAGTGTTTATAGTAATTTTTATAACTTAAATTTTTCAGGTAAAGTTTTACATTTTCTTTCAATACTAATGTATATTCGTTTTTTTGAATCATTCGAATATAACTTATAGCATGGCTTAAGTGTTTTTCATAATGAATCTAAAACAAATTTAAAAGAATGCTTTAATCACAATTCAAATAAATTAATTAAAGATTAACTCTCAAAGATACCAAATATGTATGATATATCCGTTCTATATATATTAACAAAAATGTGATGATAACTTTGTCTTAGCTAATTGGCTGTATTTTTGTCCAATGGAACTGCAAAACCTATTTTTATGAAATAGATTACGTTAGATATCACTTGAACCTATGTGTTTTTAGTGTGACTTCTGACCTCACGATATATTTGTATATTAATCTTTGTATTAAGTATTCTCACTTTTGTCTTTGTTCAAAATAATTTTGGATGACAGTTTGATCAGTTAATAAAAATCATTTAATCTTAAGTATTGTTGTTTGTTATTCCTCCTCCAAGGATCTCCATGACGACCGGTCTTGTGACACCCGCATCCAGAAGATTCCCGAGACGTAAATTTTATAAAGAAGTTTAAAAAAAAGGTTATAGAAGTTTTAATATAAAAACTATTTATTAATTATCCATTTTAGTGCATTAAAACAATAGGATTCTCTTTAAAGAGGTCTTTTACTTTTAATTTATTTTCAATTTCTTAGGTTAATGCTGCATATGGACGCGTGTCTCAGTGTAGTCGTTCTACTAAACACATTCCTCTACACGTTAATTTGAAACAGTCTATTAGTGACTCCACTTATAACTCAAGAACGGCTGAACCGATTTAGCTGAAAATTGGCAGGGAGGTAGTTTAGAGCCAGGAAATTGCAATAGGATACTTTTTATCCCGTTCGACAGCATTCCCGTGGGACTTGACATTAAACGTCAGTCACTATAAAACGTGGAATAACGAAACACAATTGACAGCTATGCAATTGACGTATAATGACAGATATGTAATGACGTAATGATGACAATTAGATATTTGTGAGAGATCTACTATGTAAAAATAAGTCCGGTCCGGAACGAACTAATTTCCACGGTTTTGCATTCGTTGGAAAGGTCTGCAACTCCGTGAGGTATATAACAAAAAATTTCAACAGAAAAACGGGAAAATCTTTTTTCACATACAGCGCCAGCATACATAACATGTACCTACTACAAATCAATATTTTAAGTAAACGGTCCCGGTGCATGATACATTGTTTGACAGCTACTCATTGTTCTCTTCTCAGTTAATTTCATGTGACAAACCGGTATTGTGTTTGTAGTTTGAACTCTTAAAACCATTTAGTATTTGCGGGATAAATTTAGAAAATCATTGTTTTTCACATGGGCAGTTATACATATTTTGCGTGTTCACGAGTTTGGAAACCATCCGCTTTATTTGTGTTAAAGTTAGACCAAAAAACAAAAAAATGTGGTTTACAAAGGAGCACTTCAATAAAACGGATAATTTGCGGACACGTATAACGCTTCGATTCGGTATCTACTTTGGATTCACTTTCATTTACTTAGAGAAGTTCAACTAAATAACACTTCATTTTTGTAATCGAAATGAATTAATTACTGTTATGAAATGAAATAAAAAGTTTCCTTCATCACCAAACGAAATGTTATATAAAAGCCTTCTGGTGGCGAAACGGAGTTCGCCAGGTTTACTAGTTATATATAAAATTATGATTAAAAATTAGATTTATGTAACAAGGGAAGTGATAGTGAATTTATACAAATAATTATAACAAGAGAAGTGCGCGTCGTCAGCCTCACCCTCATGGCTGATAGTCCTAGGTGTTGTAACAATATTAAAATATTCTCTAATGAGTTTTTATGTAGCCGCCTAATAACCAAAATAGTTGAAAAGCTCAACAATAACGAAATATTTAAAACACATAGGACGAAGTTAAATTCAAATTCAACTGTACAGATTGGGTGGACTGTTCCGATTTAACTTTTTCAAATGAGGCAACAGTGTTCTTTAGTTCTTGAATTTTAGGATACAAATCGTTAGTTGTAATGTTGCGCAATTCTTCTCTAATTATTTCACGAACATTAGTAGGTAGCCGATAAACAAGAGCAAGTAGTAGTACGACTCTTAACGCGCTGAGTGACGAATTCCATTTCTAAAGGAGTATTGCGAACAGGAGTGTTGGAATGATCACCTTTCCTTGGCTGTTTACGTCTGCATACATCGCAAAACCCATAGACCTTTTATTTCTAAACTCATCTCAGTAAAATCCTGGTTTGATATTCGTGTGCATATGACATGATATCTATCTTTACATTTGTGACATTGTAACGCCTGAGAGTCATCAAGTTCATCAGGGCACCCAGCACACAAATTTTGCCATGGTTATTGAGTGAAAAAAGAGAAAAATAAAAATAATGTTATCGTAGAGCTTGGAGTTTTTGAACCCCGAATATACGAAATGACAATCGTGGTTTCCACGGCTGCGCCACTTGGCGCAGCCGTGGAGACCTATGTGCTTGGTTATTAAATAAGTCCCTCGTATTAGTACTTGAAGCAAACTGTGTTGTGAAAGTTCAGTGAACTCTTTAGGGTTGTCACACTCCGATCACTAATAATTTATCTTTTTTAGTCAAACCTTTGTAAGATGCAAAAATATTAATACAATATTGGTAATCAAGGAAGGATACAGCAAAATGGTTGAACTATCAGGCTTCCCATAA